GGTTTTTTCGCTCTACTAGTTTCATATTTGTTACACAAATTGGCCACTTATACAATATTGCAATCAAACTTTTCTCCATACACCACTCAATTATGCTCTTTTTACCTCTTCGCTCCAACTGATAAAAAAAAAAATCCAGATTCAGATACTCATCCATTCTGCAGCAAGCACCGATTTTGACACACTCATCAATAATCAAAACATTCTTTCAGCAAAAGAATTCTTTTCTATATTTTCAGAAGTTACGGTTATAATTTTTAATTCATGCATTCAATATTTTCAGTCATTTGCTAATGATCGTTTTCAATCGTTTGGTATCTTAATATTACATTTGTGAGAGATAATTCATTGCATTAAATGCTAATGCTACCACACAACACACAAAAGTAGATTTATAATTAAAAAAAATCTCGCGCAGAACATTATAAGCCTACCATTTAAACTCAGCTAAAATATAATTTAAGTTTTCTTTAAATACGAAGCTATAGCATACTTATAAGTTGTTTTTAAGAAGAGGCGTAACCAATTTTACGTCATAAAATAGCGTGCCCAAGCATAAGAGAAGTAAACACAGCATCGACTGATGCAGCCTATTCTGCGATTTAGCCATTAAAAGCTTTTGGAGCGGTTGCATACTTTAGGTACAAGACATCGCATGGCACTTTTAAAAATAGCTTCACAGTTTCCAAATCACGAGTTGTGTCAATTAAAAAAAAGAGACGTTGCCCCAACTAGAATTAATGGGTGCAGTAATTGTGGCAAGATTAGCCAAATACTGTAAAAATCTTTTTAAAAATTTAGAAAAGATTGTTCTGTGGAGTGATTCAACAATTGTGCTACACTAGATAAAAAGTACGGCATCTAAGTGGAAGCAATTTGTTTCAAACAGAGTATTGTAACGGGTATATTTACAAATACCTTCTCTTTTGACGCACTAGAGGGCACTACATTCTTAGTCAGCTAGCGCCACTCCCATGATCCTCTGGGAGCACAGTATTAATGATGTAGTCGTAGTGATCAGTCATGTTTTGTTTAGTGTAATTTTGTTTCTTTGTTATGTCCATGTGTTTATTATGTTTTGTGAATGTGGAGCTTAAAATCTAATTAAAATATATCTGCTCCTAAGAATGGTTATTTTCATTTGCTGCAATGTTTATCAAAAGTTTTGTCACAACACAACGGGCATAGAATTAGAAATTCATGAAACTACAGATCTCAGTGCATGGAGACACTGTATAGGTAAAGAAAATGCTACGGACTTGTTAACAAGAGGATTAACTAGTAAAGATTTGCTAACTTAAAAAAAATGGTGGCAGGGCCCAAAATGGTTATTGTTCCTGGAGAATACTTAGCCCCAGCCGAAGAGATTTGAATATGACTCAATAGACCAGGAGATTGAAGCTAAATATAAATCTTCTGCTATAATTAGTTCCGCAACTGTTTCCAAACAGATGATTGATGGTAATTAGTTGCTTATGAAAACTACTGAAGGTGACTTCTTGAGTGTTACAGTTTGCTGATGTTCTTAGAAGGAAAACTAGTACAATGGGTCCTCTTACTACTCAAGAATATAATTGTGCTGAACAGTTTTGTGTTAAAGCTGTTCAAAGGAATGCTTTCTCTCAGGAAATTAATTGTTTGAAGAATAGCAATCCTGCGAAGAACAGCAATGCGCTGAACTTGAACTGAAACAAATTTGGTCAGTAATAAATCATCCAGAAGTAAAAACTTTTTATGCTGCCAATGGAATTGAATGGAAATATATTGTGGAAAGAGCGGCCTGGTGGGGAAGCTTTTCTGAACGCATGGTGCGTCCCATGAAAGTCACTCTATGGAAAATCCTTGGAAAGTCATCTATGAGCACTGAGCAGTTGCAAAATGTTCTTATTGAAATTGAAGGTACCATTAACTCTCAGCCAATTTCCTATGTTGAAAGTGACTTAGATGAACCACATGCTTTAACTCCATTTCCTTTTAGGAAAAAGAATATCATCGTTGCCTTTAGGGAGACTTCACCTTGATTCAGATTTTTCTTCCATGAAGTCTTTGATAAAGACCTATAATTATCGTGAAAAATTAATGAATTCCTTTTGGTCCAGGTGGAAAAAAGAGTATTTGTTGAATTTAAGATCTGCCCATTCAAGTTTGATTAAGAATAATGTTCTCGCATTTAAAGTTAATGATATAGTTTAGTTAAGGAGGATCATTTACCCCGAAATTTCTGGAGATTAGGGAGAATCCTTGAGTTATTTCCTGGGAGAGATAGCAAAGTGAGGGCTTGCAAGGTACAAACCGAGTCATCAGTTATCAGACGTCCTGTACAATTTAGAACTTCAGAACTCAAGTTTTATCTTCAGTGTTAATTTACAAATGTGTATTGTGAGTATATCTTTTTACGGCTGTTTATTGTTTTTTGAATTATTCTGTTAAAATTTGTAATTCTAGTAACTTCCATGCACAAATTTAATAACTTAAAATGTACTTAAGTTCACACAGTCATGGTATGCTCTCTTAGGGGACCATTGAATAATCTTTAAAAAAAAAAAAGGTGAATATTGTCTTTTTGAATATAGATAATGTTATAATTAAATTGCCTAATGTTTCATTTAAATTCTCAGTTAATTAAATGACATATATATATATGTTCTTCTTGTGTCTGGAACTCCAATGTTTTTGCAATATGAATGTATACTGTTTATATACAACTCCCTGTGGTTCATGGGAGGCAAGTAGTTAAAAATAAATTTTCATGTGATCAGATGGCGTGATTAACGGTCATCTGAATTTCCGGCAGGCCTTGTGGCAAATGTTCCCGAAAACAATCTTTATATATCTATGTAACATATTTCTTGGCTTACTAGGATGGCTTTTAATTTCCTATTCTCAGATTAATTACACTTGGCTTTTTCAGTCTAATATGCTTTTGCAAATAATATGAATAAAAATAAGAAAAAACTGGACAACATGTTCTTCATTCAAGAATCTTTTTAATTTAGTGATGGTATTATTATGTTTTCTCAAAAACCTTACCCTTATAACTGATACCAATGACTTTTGTCAAGAACAAGAAAGTACATGTTTAATTTTGTCCTGTTTGAATGATGATTAAAATTCATTATCCATAACTTAGGCAAAACGAGTGCATGACAAGTCTAAGTTCTCAAATGTATCCAAAGGGTTAAAAGGGTTTCGAAAACCACTACAAAAAAAAAAAGTTTTTCTAATTTTTAGGTGGATGTGGATGGATGTGCATCAAAAAGGCATATTTCAGATGACTGCCACTATTCCTTTTAAAAGATTTTTTTTTCAGATCTTTTTTAATAGCTATGAAATGAATACTGATTAATTTATCAAGCAGGGAATTATTAATATAAAAATTTAACTGTAAAACTAAGATATTTTGTTAGTTTATTGCAGTATATTATTGGTGCCATACAAAATAGCTTTTAAGCACAATACCAAACTTCATAAACAGTACTTTAAGTGCTAAGAATTTTATCAAATGATAACTTCTAAAATTGAATAAGATAATATCACACAAATACAAATTTTTGATAAAAATTGTACTTTCAAGTTTTCTGATGATCTCAATCAGTTCAGCAGGATTACACACTATGAATACAAGGTGTGTTCGAAAACCTCAGTGATTGGTCTCATAATTAAAAAACTGCGCCGGTTAGGATCTTGCACTCACATAGACGCAGTGAGAGAAATGTTATCTAGAGCCATCTAACGGCTATTTTGCAACAGATAAGAGGAAGCGCACGCTATGAGCAGTTTAACACAGTCAGTGTGAGAAAGACTGTCAGTGTGACATGGAGCAACGCATAAACATAAAGTTTTGCTTCAAGTTAGGCAAAACGGCGAACTGGAGACAAATACATGACATGTTAGTGAAAGTTTATGGTCAGGAAGCAGTGAGTAAAAAGTGTGTTTATGAGTGGTTTAAACGCTTTACAGATGAAAAGGAGGATGTCAAAGATAAGCTGCGGTCGAGACCCCCTACAACAAGCACAACTGCAGACAATGTGGAACGAGTTCGACGGATGCTTGCGGCAGATCGACGACTATCTTTAAGAATGATAGCTGGCAAATTGCAGATAAGCCTAGACAGTGTGAGCACCACTGTGCACAAACGTATGATATGCGCCCGGTTTATATCGCACTCACTGTCAGATGAGCAAAAGCAATACCAGATGGAAACCTCTGGAGATTTTATCGACATGTGTGACCGGAATCCGCAATTCTTGGAAACAATAATTACAGGGAATGAGTCATGGTGCTATCAATATGATCTGGAGATCCAGGCGGCAATCCATGGCATGATGTTCAACGTCGTCACCCTCTCCAAAAAAAGTCGTTTGACACAATCCAGGATCAAGATGTTCATCGTCTTTTTCGACAGTAAGGGTTTGATCCATTGTGAATTTGTACCCGCGGCTACAACCGTCAATGCGGAATACTTACGAGGGGGTTTTGAAAACGGTTGCTGCTACTGCATACGCCGGATTCGGCCACAGTACTGGAATGGACAGTGGAATCTGCTCCATGACAACGCCCGGGCCGCACACTGCGATCCGTGTAACCCAATTTCCTCGACAGGCACCAGGTTCCAGTTTTGGATCACCCTCCATATTCTTCCAGATCTGGCTCCCAGTGGACGTCTTCCTTGCTTTCCCCGCCTCAAAGGAGTTCTGAAAAGGCCAACACTGTTTCCGACATTACCGGAGATCCAACAATGTGTGAAAACGGTGCTTCAAACCATACACTGAAAGAAGCGTTTGCAGACAGTTTCCAACAATTGTACACCTGATGTCAAAAGTGTATTGTTTCTAATGGCGAATACTTTGAAGGCCAGTAAAGCTATTTTGCTTGTTTCTCTTGTTTCCTTTTTTTTTATGGTAAAATTCACCGAACTTTTCGAACACACCTTGTATGTTAATTTTTTAAAGCTTTCAACAGTAAATGATTCAATGATTTAACCATATAGTACTTGTTACCTGATGGCTGCTGTGGCGTAACAGGTTGAGCAGCTGGTTGTTCAACAAGTGGTGGTGGTTGTGGGGCTATGTGAGGTACCAAAAATGGAAAAGCACCAGGAAAAGCACCAGGCATAAATCCAGGCCCTAAATTGTGATACAAATATTTGTATGAAATTCATAGTACAAAAGAATATTTGATAGATCTAAATAAGATAAACACACATACAAAATGATTTTTCAGTATCATACAGTCCTGATTATCTAACGTTCTGTTATACCTGAAAATTTCAATTTATCTACAAAGATATTTAAGTGAAAATTTCAGACATTAAATATAATTTAATCAACTCAACACATGAAATCAATTTTTAAATAACTTATTTTCTCATGTCTCTTCTAATTAAATCTAATAAATTCAATTCTCTCTCCTAATAAGCTAACAAATTTTTCACTTTGACTAATGTGATGGTTAATTTACTACAGAATAAACCTATAAAAACTTCTTAATTACTTTCATACAAATTAAAAATTTAACTAGAACTATAAAATTATAAACACATCTGTTAACAATCATCTACTTATTTTTTATTAACTTTTTATACCTTCAAAATTAAAGCAAATTGTAAAAACTATGAATTAAAATGGATGAAGGTTTCTTACTTTTACATTTCCAAAGTTTAGACCAGTTCAACAAAGATTATTACTTTGAATGCTTTTCTAAACTTCTCAAAACAAATTCCATTCTCCATATAAAGACAGTTGAAGGTAAAAGAACAAATAAAACAAATGAGAATTTTATTAATATAACAGAGGCCCAGTAATCTGTACACCGGTAGACAAAATGATTTAACCCAGATCAATAAGCATTATTTTGAATGCTTTCTAATTTCTAATCCCTTAAAAAAAAAAAAAAAAAAAAAAAAAAAAAAAAAAAAAAAAAAACCTTCATACATCAAATAAAGGCTGCTGATGGTAAAAGAACAAACAAAACCATTCAGAAGTTTTAGGAGTGAGTGAGTGAGTGCACCGCTATGATGGCTTCCGACCACGGTCATGAACCAAACGGAATTATATACCATCACGGCGGGGAAGACTCTGAAGTAACAAGGTTGAATATTACATACTAATAACAGTTTTTACATATTGATAACTGCAGGCAGTAAGTGTTATTCTGGTTATCTGCTTTAAGTTCTGAACATTTGAAACATAATATTATTCACGGTTGTTTCTGCTTAGGCAGTGTCTTGAGATTTTCTTTATTTTATCAAGAGCTATTCTGTTTTTGAGTGTGTTAGACGTCCACATTGCCCAGGCAAAGTCCGCTGGTTTCTTCAAGTGCCAGGTTCTTGTATGTACACAATGGAAGTAATAATGGTTCGTGTCGCCTTCCTCTCTGCATTTGCAGAAAGGAGTATCCCTAAGTCTGAATCTGTTCAGGTATACTGGGAATGGTCCATGACCTGTCAAGAACTGTGTTAGGCTAGCACAGTGGGTTTTATTTCAATGTTAACTTTTGGCGGTAAACGAAATGGCCTTCGTCCTACCTCTGCCCATCTACTTTGCCAATTTTGTAGCAGACTTGTCAAACATTTGTTCATTTAATATGAGACCAAGGAAGTTTAGTTGGTCTTTCTAATATATCTGTGCAGTTGGCTGCCTGCTTGGCCAGTAGGTCAGCGGCTTCATTGCCTTGAATCCCTGTGTGAGCGGGAACCCATTTTAAAGTGGGTCTTTGCGAAACAGGCATTGTCAGAAGCTGTTTCTGAATTCGGTATACCAAAGGACTCTGGCTGTTTTGACTTGCGATAGCCACCAGACTTGATGCCGAATCAGGAGAATTTCTCCTATTGACATGTGTTCGCATATCTAATTGCAGCACTGATAGCTAAAAGCCACCAGACTTGATGCCGAATCAGGAGAATTTCTCCTATTGACGTGTGTTCGCATATCTAATTGCAGCACTGATAGCTTAAAAGCTCTGTGTGGCATTTCAAGTTGTTCAAGGCCTAGTTTCTTTTTCCACTCGAATGTTACAACTCCATTTTCCAATCTACAGAAGGTGCTGCCCATGCCATTCTCAGTTTTGGAGCCATCTGTGAAAAGGTTATTGCTGTTCCTCTGAATTGGTTGGTCGTTTATGCTGATACCGTCGGAGAGATTAAAAGCTGCTGAATGAAAGTTATTGCAGTTGTTTTGTTCCTCGTAGTCTGAGTGGTGATAACTATGACCCCAGAGTGTTGAAGTTTGACCCAGCCTGGTAATCCTTATGATACCTGCCTCCCTTTCTACTATCAAATCTAGGGGAGGAATTCCTGCCAGTTGTTGCAGGGGTAGTGTTGACATAGTACGGTAGGCCCTGCATACTTGAAGTAGCTGCTGTCTCTGAATAGAAAACAGGGATCTTTTCATATGAGAGGTAAGTTCGCCACCCCAGATTGCTGCTCCATAGGTTATGACTCTTTCTGTAATATTTATGTGAAGTCATGCGTCTCATGTTGTTGATTAGGATGCTAATTCGAGTCTTAAGATTACTGACATGTGGCATCCAAGAAAGTCTGTTGTTGAGTTATACCCCAAGATATTTCAATTGGGGGAAGCATTTTACCGGTATCCCATGGAGTTACGTCTTAGTTGCCTTCTGCATCCTATCAGTAAAGCTTTAGTTTTCTCTGCCGAAATCTGAAGCTTATGTGCTCTGGCCCATTGGGAGAACAAATCAAGACAGTATTGAGATCTCATTTCGAGGTTACTCCTTCCTTCCACAACTAGCATAAAATCGTTCGCATAGACTATGATTCGAGCGTATTCTACGCTCTCGAACTGACTAAATACAGAGTTTGCCACTATATTCCACAGTGTTGGTCCAAGGCATGACCCCTGTGAGCACCCACTAAAGACATTTTTGACATAAATGCTGCTGTCTGATGTTACTTGTGCACTTTGATCCTGAAGGTACAAGCGAAGGATGGTAATAATGGCTGTTGGGCAGGCCATGTTGTGCAGCAAATTTATTACCTCTGACCACCAAAGGCAGTCCTAGGCTCCCTTGATGTCAATGGCTATTGCCAGTGAGTGCAAATTGTTATCCTTGTTCTGTTTGATAGTGGCCATTATGTCTTTTATGGCATGCTCAGTTGAGTTGCCCATTCGGAATCCATATTGGTTGGGATGCAGGGCATTGTTCCTTTGCAGGAAGAAGTCCAATCTGTAAATAATTACTCTTTCGAATACCTTACCGAGTGCTGGCAGTAGACAGACTGGCCTGTAAGATGAAGGTTCTGCCTGATTTTAGGAATAACACCACTTCTGCAAACTTCATATTTTTAGGAAAGTACTGATGTTTCCAGTAAGCTGAAATGACCGCAAGGAATAGTTTTGGGAATTCCCAGTGTATCTCTTTAATGATTATATTATCAATTCCATCCGGACCTGGAGCTTTTTTGGGTGCCAGAGTACGTATGATGTTATCCACTTCCATTTGTATAGGAGAAGGTTTGTCTCTTCTGGTAACTTGGTGAAATTTCATACTGTAGGTTTTTCTCGCTTCCTCTTGCTCCTCTAAGAAATCCTCTTCATCATCATCAGGAAAAACTGCATTTATGATCTCACTGATTACTTCGACGTTGGATGAGGCAGTGCTATTCACCATAGGTGAAAGGGTCATAGGACAAAACACCTTGTTATATGTTATCTTTTGAGTAGGTCCAAAGGCTTTAGTGACATTACAGTAAGTTCTCCATGAGATTAACTTGGCCTCTTTAATTTTTCTTTGCTACTTTTCCATTTTGCCGGCGCAAATTTCGCCAAGCAAACTTTGTTGGCGACAACATACAGTATACACATAAAAAATGTTAACAAACATTAGTTCTAAGCATTTTTTATTTTGAAGGCATAAACATTTTAATATGGTTTAAAATTTTGTAAAAAGGCATTAATTTAAGAATTTACTAAGCTTTCATGGTTCAACATCCTGATTCGCATCACGTGATCCCAAGTGATCTTATCTCACGTAAACTGCGGTACAAAAATCTACTTCAGTAATTATCTACATTAATTTCAAGTTAAATCTTAATTTGGAATACAAGTTTAAATGCAAGACTTATTTCAATTCGTACAAATAGCTTACTCAGAAATTGTGTAAAATCGCAATGCTTTAATTCGCTAGTGCATTCTCATTAGAATTGATAAATTTAACCCATGATTTTGCCTTTTCTTTATTTTTGGGTGAGCAGTGTGATTGCACTCTAATTGAATTAATTACCGCGAATGGTCTCGTCTTAGGGCATAAAATGTAACTATCTTGTAAAAATTCTATGTAATTGTATGCCAGTATTGAAAGAAACAATCATACTGATAAGAAATGGCTACGACTTGTTTTATAAATGAGGCATAAAAGGTTACCAGCGAAGATATTCTGTTTGGCATCAGTTGTACCATTGTTGGTGGCTTTATCAATTGCGCTGGCAAAACGGAAAAGTACCTTTTCTTTTATATAAAGCTCTGGCTTTATTGTATCTTATCATTTTGAGTTGCCGTAGATATGGATATACCATGGATTGCACTTTTCTGCGAAGTGCCTGAACTCTGCTCCTCTCTGTGTTAAGCCCTGGTGACCACCAGGATATGGAGTGTTTTGCCTTTACAGATTTCAAACGATATGCTTTGTGGGCGGCTTGCACTATTTTTGTAACTAGTAAGTCGTAGAGATTATCTAAGAAGTTTCTGTCCTCGCAGTTGTTGAAATCTTTGATAAATTTCTCTACATGCACTCGAATGTGTTCCCGTAAAATGGAATGTCCTCCGAATGCCGTTTTGAATCTTTTCTTTATTAAGTAGTCTATAGGAGTATTGAGCCTGTAAGTAATAATTTTGTAATCGCTGAGTGACGAGAAGTTTTAGGAAATAAAGACAGCAGAACTTTGATAATCAGCACAAAATGGGTTAAAGGACTGTGTGGATTAGTGAATTTTGCAGATTATAGATCATGCTTTTTTGAGTTCTATTTACATTTTTCTTTTTCTAATTTTTACATTAAATTTGGATAGTCTACATTTAAATAACTAGCCAAATTAAATAATCAAATTCTTTAATCACGATTTAGTGAATATAAAAGTATTTCATTCACCTATTAAGTGACTTAAACCATTCTGAACTGGGTTTTCATCTTTGGTATATCAAATTTCTATCTCTGTCTGCTACAACCAACCTCCAATTTACTCTCGGTAGCTGCATTTTCTTTCTTCAGATACAAAAGTTTTAACAAATATGTATATCCCATTTCAAAAACAGGTATGCAGATTGCACTTAAGCTCTATATATCTATGTCATGAACTATTCTGTCCAGTAATTAAACTTCTGAATAACACAAATGCAAGTATCTCCATCAGCAATACTTAAGTAATTACATTTATGTACAAAGAAATTGTCAATACAAGGAAAAAAGTTGCTAGGTATAAAATGGAATAAATGACGAGTGTTTTCCTGAGAAAATGAAGAACTCTGTTGTAAAAATGCATAAAAATATTTTATATAAAAAAATACAAAGTATATTTACCAGTGAAATTGCTTTTTTAAATAACTTTACTGCTCTTAAAAGAATGAAAAAGGGATATATGAATAAATAAGACCTCAGCAATATGTTTTTTGCTAAACTGAATTCATGTTAAAAATGTTCAATTAATAACACCATTAGCAGTTTACAAATGCTACAACCGAAATTTTAGATTTCTTAAAAGATGAATTTTTTTATTACTCTTGTTACTATGTTTTTAATACAGAAACAATTTAATACAAATGAATCTCTGCAAAAATTATTTTTAAGAATTTATCCCTATTATCTCACAGTACTTTCCTCATTTAATATTAATTCCAAATAAATCATCAACTCACAATTTCCAATATTTGCAGCTTGAGGTTGCTGAGCTTGTGCACCTTGGACTCCTGCACCTGCAGCTGGAATATTTTGAGTAGGTGCCGGTGTAGGCACCCTTAAAACATCCATACGGCAAGTTGGGCATGTCTGTTGCCTCTGAAACCATGATCTCAAACATGAAGCATGGAATATATGATTACAAGGAAGTTTCTTACTGCTTCCAGAACCCATCATTTCTTCTCGGCAAATGATGCACACATTATCTACGGTAGCCAGTTCTTCAGCTGTTGCATCAGGATAACTAAAGAAAGTTATTTAAAATTTAATAACTAAGAATAATAAATAACAATATTTTTATACTTGAATGCATTTCTAATAAGGGGGAAAAAACAGCAATTTTAAGGCAAAATTCATGTTTTAACCATATGTATACTAAAAATATCAGATAAATAAACTGAAATTCTTAAGAAATTTCAAATGGATTTAATCTTAAATGCAAGAATACTCTGCTAGCAAAGCACTAAACTGCAAATTAAATATTAGTCAGTAAAAAACAGGCAAATCAAAATAGCCAATAAAAACAGTGATTTATACACTGAAATTTCTACTTGATTAACTTATATATGAACAGTTTAGAAGGGGAGAAAAAAGACAAACTTACAGAGTGTTCATATTTCGTATAGCACGCCTGGACATTATGACATCATTGACAGCTTTTTTCAGTGCCCTATAAATAAAAGTAATCAGAGAACAATAGAAATATTTGTAAGCAGTACATATTAATAAGTATTAAGGCTCATTTCTATTACTGCACTGCAAACGCGATGAGTATGCATTTCTCCAATCAGCGAACAAACTCGCTTTTATTGACATCTGAGATACATTGATGAATGAAGGACTGCAAAGAGTCAAACCATGTTCAGCGTCTATCCGTATGTCTGTGGAAGTGCTCGGGTCACGTGGTAAAAAAAAAAGCAACCAGGTGCTGTCACCAAAAAATAAGTGCAGCAGAAGTAGCTATGAAAGCTGGATCGTGAAAAGAATGTTTTGCTAAAAAATACTTGTTTCTGTAATAACATTATAGTGAGAAATTTGCGTACTGAAAAAAACAGCAGAAATTAGTTTAAAAAAGAAAACTGCAATTATAGCACTAGTTCGTATACAACAGTGATAACTGTCAAGAAAATCAGTACAAAAATACAATTCAAGTCCATGATATAGCAAAATTTGTCAGTCCTAATTCTGCACATTCATTTACTTTTAATGAAAATGAAAGTCTGACTATATCAAACTGCTATAGCACACCAGATAAAGCATTAGAAGATTTTTTTCTTTTGAAACAGGTAACAAATTAATAATGTTATTTATAAATTAAATTTGATAGCCTTTTCAAATATTCTACAGCAGCAAAATGTATGTTAAATTTGTATTTCTCTATTTATAAATATACTTTTTTGGCTAACATATATTTCACATCTTCCACTTGGAATATATTTTTAGCAGTCTGTCTAACTGCAATCTAAACACCACTTTAAAATTAAGTTTTAATAAACTCGGGAAAATTTTTTAGGTGATACACAGTGAAATACGATTCCAAAATTTATTTTTAAGAATTTATTTACTTGATGATGGATATAAGCAAAAATTGCAAATTACGTCTGTGTGATCACAACGTGGAGGTAGTAATGCGGCTTGACCTTTTGGGCTTGTGAGTTCGAATTCCATACTCTTCTCTCACCCTGTCTACAACTTTCTTAGCTCTGTGTCCCAATTTGATCTATATCTATGTTTTAAAATTTCTTTCTATTATTATGTGCATTAAATCTAATGTATTATTTATATTCTTATTTATTTAAATTTTCCCATAAGAATTTATTTTGAAATTTATAACATAATAGGAAACTAAGCATACTACTTGTATATATATATGTATTATATATATATATATGTATATATACAGTCAAAAGTCTTTAATCTGGACTCGTCGGGACTTTGGCGAGTCCGGATTATTGATATGGTCGGGACTTCGACGATTCTTGATTATCGATTTTTCGGAATTATAGATCATCAGTTTAAATCTGGTAAAATGGCATGCAGAAATTATAAAATTAAAAATATGAAACCGTAATTTAAGAAATAAAGAACAATTATGATTTAAAGTGTATCAAAATTTACAAGAAAAAAAAAGTTTAATATTTATTTGTTTACTTTATTAAACATTTCTTTCAATGTAAGTTGTTAAGTTGCTTCGTTCTTTATGTGATAATATATTCTCTTTAATTCTATAAACAGACATAATTTCTTGTTCAGTTACAAAGTTCCGCTGTTGAAGTCCTATAATTGCTGTGTCGAGAATACCGACTAATTTGTCAAATGAATTTTTTTCGTTTTCAATAACCTCTGTTACTTTCTTCGCTATCGGAAGCGAATTATAATGACGAGGCATTTGATTTAAATCATATCAAAGACGGAGTACATTGAAATGAAATACTACATTTAGTAAGCAATTATAAGCCAAATAAAATAAAAACATCTGCCCTGAAGATAAGGACAGTGCTGACAGATCAACTTCCAATTCATTGCGCGCCCCAGCGTTAAAGATAAACAAAGTTTAGATAAACAAACGTTAAAGCTTAGATAAACAAAGGATATGCCTTTATCCACTTTTTGCAGCAATTCCACTTTTTGTTTAAAGGACGCCGAAACATACTTTCGCTTTGTAGATCCGTTACATATTAGTAAATATAAATCAGAAATTCTATTTGACATAATCGAAAGTTCAAGCTTACTTTTATAAAATTGCTCTAACAGTCTGCAAAAAATAATAAGCCGGATCCAATTCGAAGATTAAGGAACAACACAATCTGCAACATTAACTGAATTAGATAATTTTAGCTTAGCTTATACCGTCCGTAACGCCCATTCATAAACGTATTTTGCGCACGCGCACATGCAAATTCGCAGCCGTAGAGGTCTTACGTGCACGCGTCAACGCGACACATACGCAGAAAGTTTGTAGATTTGAGGTCCGGATTATGGGTGTCCGAATTAACGACTTTTGACTGTACAAACTAGTACAAAAAGTATTAAAGATATATCTGGCAAACCTTAGAATATATTTAGAAATTTTATACTTTTCTCAAGACACATACCAAGAACTCGGTTTTAAATGTCATAACAGAAAACTTACTTCAAAATTCTGTAAACTAATAATAATACTTTGATATAGAATCATTCCTCATTAATTCAAAATAACCTTTTTAACTTAAGTACATTGTGCATATATAGAAATTGAGGTTTAGAAAGTTAAATATTAGGTATGTTAAGAAATAATCTCTATAAACAATATTAATGAAAGAAAATAAACATAATACTAGCATATAAAGTTCTTAAATATACTTACCGTAAACTCAAGTACATAGGTCGTATTGCAAACAGTGGAAACGTATGTATTTTTATCATTATTGTCATAAACATGAAGTACAGTAACACTTTAAACAAACCTAAAGAAAAGTGAATAAAAATTACCAAAAGCAATACATACTGAATATTAATAGACTGTCACTTTTCTAACTCAACAATAATGTTTAAATTAACATTAACTTCATTTTAGTAATTGCATATAGCTTTAAAAATCTTACAGTATTTATAAGTATAAAGATCCTATAAAAATAACTCCTTGCAGTTACTATGAAAGAAATTAGAAATGATACATAATAAGCATGGTATATCTCTTTCCACAATAATTTATCAAATAAAATTTTAGTTTCTGACAATAAGTTTATGATTTATACTTATGATATACATACCCATAACTAATTCACTGTACAGAAGAAATACTGCCTTATTTTCCCAGGGATTCTCACTTTGCAAGTCATATGAATGCAGAACATACTTCATAAAAATATTCAGCACAACACTTAGTAAGATAGCATACTGGAAGAAAAAAAAAAAAAAAATACAATACAATACACTTTAAAATTTACAACTTGATTGATACCAAATAAACTTATTGTGCAAGTTAATGACTACAGTTCTTTCAAAACAGACATTATTATTATTTTTTATAATTTAACAAATGCATTTTGATCATTAAAAAATTAGACTTTGTAGCATATAAATAAAGTATGTTTAGTTTTCCCAGACTTCTAGTTTTCATATACACTGCCAAAGCTTGCCTTTAAAATTTATGAAATTTGATTTGTTCGATAGAGCAGCTTATAAAGAGTTATACACCATTAATTTCAGGTAGATAAATCACAGCTTAGATATGTTTAAAAGCTGAAAATTCAGGTCTGTAGCATATCTGCCATAGCAGCATATATGAAGAAATTTTATTTTTCCTCTGTTTATAGAACTTTGCTAGTTTAAATCACAAGTTAAGCACAAGCAAAATGGTTATTTGAGAATTCGCATTGACATTTTAACCCGACATGAGCCCTCAGGTTGCTTTAGGGCAGTGCAACAAGTCCAAACTCGCATGAACTTGCCTAACTATGGCAGAGTGTGATCCGTATAAAGACATCATAGCATGTGTGTATGAACTCTATGGTTTTGTCTGTGTTTTCTAATGACCACCATTTTTTTTTCAAACGGTCATAGGAAACTTTTATTTTGCCAAGTTCTGTCTTCATTCTTACACACGACTCACTGCTTTGTGGCTTGTTGGTTATTTGTTGCAAAGCTTACTTTGTTATTCACTCCACTTGAATTTTAAAAATTATTATTATGGCTTCTAATGAGAAAAAAAGTTATACGGCTGTTTTGAGGCTTTTGGCAATAAAGAAAACAGTAGAAATAGAAAACTGGGCTTCGACTATAGAATTTCAAGTTGATGACATATGAACTGGATGGTGGAAATCCGAACAGAATCAGAGAAAATGTATAAAAGATCCTTTTGAACTGACATCATGTTCTGGCCTCTTCTGGAAAAAAAAATTAGAGAAATGGATGATGTAGCAGAGAGAAAAGGGATTATCAACATCAACAAAATTCACCTGTTCAACAAATGGGTATTAGAAACTTTGTTGGAGGACCTAATTAGTATTTCAAGTTCATGAAATAAAAGAAATTATCTGTCAGAAGCAAACCAACAGTTTGACAGAAGCTTCCTATGCACTGGCTAGGGGGGGGGAAGATATTTTGGATTGAATAAAGAGCAAATAATTAGTATGGATGGCATGCCCATTACTTTTGTTTGTCTTTCATATGGAAGTGCTCATTCAACAGGTGACTATTTCTGTGTTAACAATCAGGAACGAAAAAACTTCTTTTACTTGTGTTTTGTGTTATGCCGCTAATGGAGGAAAATGAATGCCTTTGACAATTTTCAAAAGAAAAATAGTTCTGAAAGAAAACTTTCCTAAAGAGATCATTATTTACGCACAATGAAAAAGGAAAGTTGTGCAAAGAAGTGATGAAATTTTGACTGAGAGAAATTTATTGAAAAAGTAAAGGTGCTTTTTTCCCACCTTGGGAACTCATCATTCTGCATTCAATGCAATCCCATTCAGCAGACACAGTAAACTCCAAAGCAAAAAAACTTAGCACTGATATCTCGATGATACCAGGTGGGTATAAAATTGCAAAATTTCATAGCCACTGGATATCGCCATCAATAAAACCGTATAGCACGAGCTATGAAAGGAATAGGCAGAACGAATACAAAGTGGATTCCATTCCTTCACAAATTCCAGATGAGAAATGCATCCTATGAGAAGGTTTCCTTGTGGGTATATAAAGCATAGCAATCAATCCAAGCTGATCTGATTGTATCAGCTTTCATTAAATTGAAAATAATAATAAAAAAAAAAATGATGGTAGCAATCTTGAAAGTGATTTAAAACAGAGTGATGACAGTGACCTTAATGGCCATTTGTTAAGTTTATTTAATTTTGACATTGACGAGTTAGATTTTGAAAGTTTTGTATAAACAAACGTAGTTTATTTTAATTACAATATTATGTTTTTCTAATTTGCATATTATTTTTCATAATAAGAACTTATGATGATAAACAAATTTTACTGAGCACCATAAAAGTAACATCTATTAGGAATTAGAGTTTGTTTTTGCTAAGTTCAAGGTAAGATGTTTATTTACTTTTTTATTTTTTTATTTATTTTATATCATTATTTATAATTATATAATTACATTGTAAATGTTATCAATGATGATTACATCAATATGGAAGGGAATTAATAAATGAATATTAAGTGTATGTTTCACGATACTTTCCTGCAGTGTTTATGGCAATGCTGCTTATCCAACTAACTTTCATTTTGTTTAGTCAATTACCACGTCTATGGCATATATGCCAGGTTGGCTTATCTACCTGAAATTATGGTACATTATAATTGCAACACCAACAAAAACAAAAAAAAAAAAAAAAAAAAAAAAAAAAAACTTATTTTACAGAATGCCTTACAACACAAAGATGAAATCACTCATATTTCAGGTACGCTGAGCAAAGAGACAATGTTACGATCAATACAGAAAGAGGCCTTCATGAGCAAGTATAACTGCTGCTTACAATGAATTAAAAAAGACTTTGGATGCTATTTTGTAATATTGCAATCTAAACAGCCATATCATTCACTGCCAAAGATGATACACAATAGTTGCTGAGGTCTTCATCATATCAACAAGCATAACACCACAGACCAGATGTGTTCAAGCTGGAAAGGATATGGTGAATGCACCAGCCAAAGCAGAACTATAATCTGGTCAGTGTGAAAGAAGTATCAGACATTAAGTACAATGTATGGTCATACTTTTCTTGTTATATGGTGGCTCTAGAATGTTTCAGAAGAGCAAGCTTTAGACCTTAACACATCCGTAATATAATGCTGACTGGTCACAATACATACAGGAGCATAACAAACAGGAGCAGGAATTTTACATTATTACACTTATTTCAAAATTCACAGGACTGAGTAATATGATACTGCATATGCTATGTTACGAACAAGCAATCCATATAATGGTACTATACATTCCATCATGATATAAACATACAGAAGTGACTTTCATCACAGAAGACAATATCTTGATATTCAAGTGTATCAGTTAACACATCATTTTAAGCAAAATTACCAACACTATATTGCTAAAGGTGGACAAAGCTCTGGCCATTCTGCAATGAATCTGCGATTCTCAAGATATCTTACCATACACACAAATACTTTTTTTCATCATGCCACACACCAATTTTCCTGTATTAGAATGCATGAAGAGGCTATTCAAGCCATTCACACAAGATATTTACCGTCTTGGGCATTGATATGTAGTGGTCAACAGAGCATGTTTATTGGCTCCATCCATTTTTTCTTGACGCATCAGTTCAATATCAGACGGACAGTAATCATTAAAACATGCTGCCATAAGGTACAATTTCGTGCTCAAGGCATACTTTACCCTTCCAGCTTACAAACATGGAAAGTACACAATTCCCAAATGGAAAACATATACTTTCTTCTCTTTTTCACCGATTCTAGATGGCAGTACAAGCAATCATTATATGCATATCAACTAATTATTTTCATGTCCCATCATGCCCTAAGGCTAGCAAATATACATATATAGTACAAAGTCCAAGATCCGGACTCGTCGTGACTTCGGCAATTCCGGATTTGGGATTTTTCCGGATATTAGATCATCAGGTTAAATCTAGTAAGATGGCATGTAGAAATAATAAAACTAAAAATATAATATCATGATTTATGAAATAATGAAGCATATGCTACTGTTATCAATAATGGAATTCTCTTTACTTTTGAATTACAAACATATGCTATTGTAGTTGTTAACCCATTAGCCGCTGGTGTTGCGTTGATGCAATGGTCAAAATAAATGCGTATATAAATATAACTACCTAAGATATTTTATATCAGCAGATAATTTTGTGTAGGGAATATTATGAAGATTATTTCTGTAAAAAAATATTTGCCTTCAACAATCATTTTGTTTGTAATAATTAATCTCATACTTTAAGCAAAATTTTGACCGGGTATTTTTGCTGAAAATATTTAACGAAAGAATCGCAATCTTTATGAGTGATCTATTTTTAGTCAAGCTCACCGTTTATCAGAACATTACATCAGTCACATGTTTATATTTGTGTTAGGAAGGAAGGGAAAACAGGTGTTGCGCTGATGCAACGTCAGCAGGAAACGGGTAGTCAATCTTTTTCACTCATTCCTTTCGATGTTCTGGTTCATGTTTTGGTTGTTTAAAAATGCCTAGAACGAGGTAGAAGAAACCCTTCAAAGATTTTTTGATGATAATGTTAATAATAACCAGAATGAAACTGATATTGTTGTTGTTCCCCCACAAATTGCAGAAGCTAGTGGGGAAGAAGAAAGGAATGGCAATGTTTTAAATAATGATAATGATATTTTACCAAATGATACTGCTGGGGAAGTTGAAATTCACGTAAGAAGTAAGTTTCAGCCTTCTAAAAGCAGTTATAGTCATACTAAAAAGTTTGAAAAGCAGAAGACTGAAATCTTGAAGTGGATAAAAAAGGAACTGTTAGTTATGTCTCAGGAAGAACACGAAGAAAGAGATAGAAGAGAAATTATAAAAGGTAAAATACAAGGTAAAATTAGTGCACAGATTTTTGATTTTCTTCTCGGTTTAGACATTTACTCTCTTCTCGTTAAACAGACAAATATATACACTCAGCAAAAAAAAAAAAAAAAAAAAAAAAAAAGCAGCCCGGAATTTATTGCATCTGAAGCTTATATGAGAAGATTTTTTGGAATATTATTGCTTACAGGATATCATTCTTTACCTCAAAATAATGTATTGGTCTTTTGATAAGGACATTTCTGTTCCTGTTGTACGAGAATCAATAACATGTTTGCAGTACAGGAATATGAAGCAGAATTTACGTTTGACAATAGTCAAATTGACTATACTGATAAATTATATGAGGCGAGACTGTATCTAAACTTACTAAATATCAACACTTTTTTTACTACTGGAAATATAAAGTCTCTTTTAGATTTCAGACGCGAGAATGCATTATTCCTTTTGCAAACTCCTATTGAGAGTGTAGAATTAGCCAGAAATAGATCAGCAACAGGAAGACCTAGTAAATTCAGCATTCAAAAACCATTGCATGGAGATGGTAGATATTTTATCGTAAAGTCCGTTGATAACAAAAGACTTTGTTGTAAAGAGTACCATAGCCAGAATGTTTATAGATGCAAAGTATGTAATGTAGCTTTACATCATGATTGTAATCAAGCTTTTCATGCTTGAATCTTTCAATTGAAATAATCTGTACTTGTAAAAGAAATACAATGTATATTTTAATATTAAATTAATTACAAGTAAAGTGATTTGAAGATTTATAAAACGTTATACAGCTAAAAAGTAATCCTGCGCTCCATTCGAAAGAAACATCACACGAGTTCAATCCTACTCACTAAACATCCGTAGTCTTATTCCGCTGACGTTGGCAACACTCGCTTTTTCCACAGGTAAGAGCATTTTTTTCATTTTCAATGTAAATTTATGTTATAAATGCTTAATTAAATATTTGTTATTATTTTCATGAGAAAAGAAACATTCCTTGTAATTTTGGCAGTTAATGGGTTAATAAAAGTTTTACTTGGAGTCAATAGGCAACTTTTCTCAGAGTCAATAGCCAACAACTTGATGGATTTTTATGAGAACCATCTGCATTCTTGTTTATAATTGCATCACCAGAAGTTTCCATTTTTGTTTTGTCCAATTGCTGATTGATGGTGCCATTGAGGAATAAGTGATGATTATTATGTTTACAATAATTAAAAATTGGCTGCATAACACTTTCAGTTTATTGATATTGCTTTGCGTTTGCCAGTTTGTTCTTGCTTTACATGAAGTTCCTTTTCAGTGATATGGAAATGTGAAGCTTTCTGTACAAGAAAGTGCTTTTCATATAATTTTTCAATGCGAACAAAATATGTGTATTAGCGAGATGTTAACAGTGTTTTAATTGTTACTCATGATCAGGGGCATAGCCTGAATTTCCATAAATGCATGCTCCTAAATACCAAATGTTTCAAAAATTATATTAACAAATGAAAATTGGAATTGCATGTACTGGAAAGTTGAATATTGTTTTTAACGTCTGATTTAAGGGTTTTTTTTTTTTAAATAATTAGTGGTTTGCCAAATATAAAATTATATATGTAGTGGTCCGTGAAGTTCTAAGGGTTGACGACCACTGATCTAAAGGGTATCAAAACGTAGAGAAAAAAAGCTTAATACCTATTTTTTTACTTTATTAAACATTTTTTTATGTTGCTTTTTTTCCCCAATACTTTCTCTTTAATTCTATACAGAGACATAATTTCTTGTTCATTTACAATGCTCCATTGTTGAAGTCCTGTAATTGCTCTGTCTAGAATTCCGACTGACTTGTCAGTCAAAATTTTTTCACCTTCAGTAACATCTCTGTCACTTTCTTCACTATCGGTAGCAGTACATTCTGGTTCTAGAACCATACTCCAGATTTCGCCATCCCTTAATTGATTGATAATTGAGGGCATTGTCATAACAATAAAAAAGTCTTTTATATCATCTCCATTTATTACTGCTTCTCCACAATTCTTTACAAAATCAGTTGATTAGAAAATTTCACCCTTGGTTTGCGATATCTCAAAATCTTCAGATTCGTGGCTATCATCATAAAATTTAGCAATAATTCACTATACATATTTGGCTATGTATTATGAGATTGGCGACTGAAGACAAGTTGTTCGGCTAAATTTTATCTTGCTTCTATCGTGCAGAGACAAATTTAAGCCTAAATTATGTTAGTTTATTTATTATACTTACGCCTATTCCTTGCAAATACTTAAGGCTTATCCGAGTCCTGAAGAAATGAAATTCCACATATACTTAAGGCTTATTGAGGGCCAGTGCTAGAAATCTTTGTGCCTGATGCAGTCTCTGCGGGTGCTAAATTGTTGCTACCAAGCACCTCTATTTGTCTTCCCTAAGTTCTGCTGCTCGGTGCGGCCATTCGAGCTTTGGCGCTGATTCTGGGTTTATGCGAATAACAAATCAGTTATTCTCAATTCAAATAGCACTAAATGTAGTAATCTTTTGGCCTATCAGCATCAACATAATTTATTTTTAGCATATGGAGAGAAATTGTTAAATTTTTCCTGTTAACATTTCTTAGTGTATTAAAATTAAATCTGTAATCATTGCCAAGCGTAATGTCAACATAAAAGGTTACCATACTTTTTTATTTAATTACTAATATACAAAAAAAATTTTTTAGGCGTCACTATATGAGTTGTCATGTGTTGATAAATATGCAATGGTGAAAGCAAAATATAATAAATAATGATTCGCCAGGTTTTCATCAGGGATATAAAATATTAGTAGGTGAAAAATCATCTATGTAGATGTATCCATGTAGAATGTTTCGGTTTGAGATGTATATCAAGCAGATACGCAGCTACGGAGCCAAATTATTGATTATACAAACTTATGCTAAAATTTTTATTTCTTCAATAATGAAGTATTTTATTTAGCGCTGAAGTGAAATTAAGAATCGGGATTCTCCACATATGCGGGAAGAATCAAATGCACACAAACACACACACAGAAAAAAAAAATCTGAAAGGTTTCAGATTTTAAATTATGTCCAAAGGGGCATTTTTTTAATGTTTTGTGTGTTACCTTTATTTATTAAATATCATGCTCTTTGCACTTAAACCATAAAATTCAGTTCAATAGCAATGTCGCAAAATAATTTTAAAATGAGCATATCTTTAGAATTTCTGATACACAGTTCCACGTGCTGGAGGTAAAATAGGTTTTTTCCCTCAAACAGAGTGCTGCCATTGCTCACTTTGAAATTGTTGAGTTTGTTACTCACAATTTCATTAAAGCTTTACAAAATATGAAATCGATAATAAAACAAATTCCAAATTTGATCTTCCACATGCTCATATTCATAGGAGGATTATGTCACTCAAAATTCGATGGCTCTATGTATCATTGTTTTATCACAATGTGAGAAATATACATACATTTATGCAGATTTTTCATTATTTAATTTCTTCAAACATAATGCAGAACTCTAACATTTGGTGGTAACAGTTTGAAAAATAAATTCGTTTGAAAAGTGATTCAACGCAAAATCGCATAACAAAAACAATAGTCCTTCAGGGACAAAGGCCCTTTGGACTAATTAAAAAAAGTAGGTGGTGGCTTTGAGGTCTGGATTTTAGATCATTCCGGATATTGGACGTCCAGATCTCGGACTTTGTACTGTATATATAAATAGTTTTCTTAAGCATAAATGCATTTTTTAAAATTCTTTCAAAAATATTAGCAATGAGCAAAAGATTAGAATAATCGGTATTTTCTGATTACCTATACCCCCATAAAAATTCACTAATACGCACTGCCGACTTTGAGAATTGGTGAAAAATGTTCGGCTATCCTTACACCTCTGAGGTCCTATTCAAATTATAAATAATAATAAAATTAAGCATTTTAGAAGAAAGAAGAAATTTTGTTTGAAAGAACAATAATCTATCTTAGAAATACGTTTATACAAACAAGAATGATCCATAGCTAAATCAAGTGAAATGAAAGCATGCAAAACCACATCAACTAAAACATACATATGTTATATGCATGCATGAGTTGGCTGTTGTGGCATGCATATTAAAAAAATGTGTTGGAAATATGCCAGTTCTACTGAATGTTGAAACAAGGGGGCTGCAGGTAATCAGAGAGTACCGAATAACTGTGCAAGTGGTTAGAACATACTTCAAATCCAAATACTAATTGGACTGAAGCTCCTTTTGTTATTGTGCTGTGATAAGCATGGCTTACAAAGAAATAATCCAAGACACCCAGCAGGATCAAGAGAGCTAGTTAGAAGAAAATACATAAATAAGTAAATGTAAAATAAAACAAACACATAGAAAATGTCTAAGAAAAATACATATAGTAACACCCTGACTTATGCAAACTCTAAGTTATGTGGCTCTGAATTTATTTTATCATTGTACTTAACCCTACATTGCATGGTATTACTGTTTCTCAAAAAAACTTAAGATTACTTTTAACGGGCACTTATCCTGTTTCCAATTGGAAATAGTATGTATCTACAGAATGTTCACATGTGTTATTGGCATGCAATTCTTAATTACATTCATAGATGCTGCAAGATGTTTTATTTGCATACAAATGTATAGATGATGTCTACACATTTTTAAAACAATTTCAGGGCTGTTTAATTAATGTCTAAAATGTAAAGAGTACTTTTGTAAATGTTCAGTCTGATAGTTTTTTTCCTGGATTATAAATCTACACCATAATTTCCATGATAGAAGCACTTTTCACACAATTTCCAGGGGTACTGATTTCCATTAGATTCAATCAATCATGGTGAACTGATGCTTAAAAAGAACTCTCTTCTAGAGGCTAAGGGCACAAAAGTCCCAAGGTGAAAAAGATTTCATGGGAATACCTGAAAATGTTTTTATGCAATACCTATACGAGTCATTTTTTCAAGGAATGCAGTGGTACTTTTCAAAGTATGACTTGTTTGTTTTGATGAAGGTTTGAAAGTCACTGGGATAAAAGAAATTGAAATTCTTCTGCAAATATTGGTGATAAAACATTCCCTTGATGGTACACTGAATTGATTTTAACATTTTTTCCAACTCTCCTTATTTTTATTTCCCATTGTAACAGAATCCTGTGACAATCATAAACCCCTTACAGAAGCTATCTTTCAATTGACAGAACCAGCATATCCCCCCTTCATTTTTATTTATTTGGACCTTCGTTGCATGTAGAAGTAATGACTGATGGTTTTTCCCTTTCTGATTAGTAATTGCTTATTTTACATTTACAGATTTTAATACCATATATTTCACAACATTTTTTAATTATGGAATAGCAAAATTTCTCTTTGAAAGTGCAAAAACATATCCTTCAATCCACAGCTTGTTTACATGCAATATTTTGAAAGAATAAAATTTAAAATAGCAAACAATATCTCTCATTCCAGATAAGTTGCTACCATAAATTTTTATTCCAAAGCATTTTTTTTTTTCAAATTCTTTATTGAAATTATTCTAAAAATGTATTATAGCTAATTGCATGGTACTAAGTGTTACCAAATACTGTATATACATTTGCTATAAATTTAAAAACTGACATGATTTTTGCTGCTTTAAAAACCATATTAGTATTATATGTATGATAGAAATAGGAAGAAATAGAAAAAATAACAATTTTGTCCATGATTAACTCTTTTGATATATAAAATTCTGCATTGTTATTTAGCAACATCATGCATTCAGAGTCTGATGGTTCACCAATATAATTTAGCTGACTGCTCACTGCTCCTACATTTCACACTGTTACTGTGATTTTATATCATAAAATATAACTAATGAAAAATGTTTACATTGTGAAAAGATGATCAGTAGAACTGACTGATCAAATATGGTTTTCAATACCAGTGAAGATAAAAGTGGAGATGATGAAGAAATTTATGACTGAGGCAACAAACACACGAGAACAATTAATGACATAGTGAATCTTGTGTGCTATCTACACAAAATCTTCAAGAGAAAATGCCTCTGCTGGGTCATCAGAAAGTGCAGGTAATATGTCAAGTGCAGTACTGCAAATGAAATTGCTACTGGAGATGTTCCAGAACCATTTGTAGAAAATAAGGCATCAAAGAAAGTAGGAGATGTATTAAGGAAGACAGAGAAAATGGAGTAAGTGCAGCAACCTTTCCTTAGAAGAAAGTCCAGCTGAAAATATATTAGCTAAGAAAACACCTTATTATTGACAAAATTTTAGGTGTATAAAACTAATTTATATACACATTTTCTTGTTTGTAATTTCAACTGCATAAGTGGTAGGATTAAAAGACGAGGTGACATTAAATGCATGTTGTTGAAAATAGCAACAAGTAATAAATAACTCAGTAAACAAAATAAAATAAAAAATATATATTTTTAAAAAATTTTCTGTTTTTAAAAGTCCTTTTTTTAAGCTAAAATAAAGTTATGTAATGTAGGGTCAATCTGCATTTGAAATTGTCAGTAATTCAAAAAATGCTGCAAAAAAAAAAAAAGCATTACTCTGTCTATATTAGAATTAGCTTTAAAGAAATAAATGCACATCAAAGCATAATTTTTGTTAAATGTTCTAAAAACTCTATACACCTCTTCAAAAATTACATTTAAGTTATAGTTATGTTCACAAACAATGCTGTTATTCTACACTTACATACACAGCATACACTTACATACATAGCAGCCATTGTTTTGTTCTTTGGCATAGGAAAGCAAACAATGATGCTTGATGCTCATTTTCTACCACTTTATAATTCTGAATCGAGTCATCAGACAAGTTTCTTAAATTTTATGAAGCTGTTGGCATTGAAATAAGTCCATTTTATGATATATATGAACTCTGTTTGCATTGATATGTACAAAAATTACATCCTTTATTATGCACTTTTCATCTACAGCCCTAAGTATCAAAGTAAAAAAAAAAAAAAAAAAAAAAAAAAAAAAATTTAATGAAACAGTTTTTTTAAATTTAAATTAAAATTAAAACAAGAAATATAACTTGCACAAGTGGCATTGCTGTAAAAATTAGAGGAGGAACCTCCAAAAGAGGTTTTGGTCAAGGCCTCTGGTTTTGAAAAACAGACCCTATCTCCTGAGTGTACCAATCAGATTAAGTAAACTATTTAAACAAATTAACACAACCAATTCATAGCTCTTAGATACTTGAGATACAGTTTCATATTTAGTGAGGAATTTTGTCAAAATGAAAATTAGTAAGTAATATGAGATATATTCATGTCTATTTCTCTATTAAAAGTGGCAGATTTTGCAGTTTTTATGTGCAAATAAAAATTAATAAAAAAGGCTGCAATGAAATAAGTCAACTGCAAATTGATACTGATTGAAGTAGCCCCAGGAAGTATGTTAGTAACAAAAATAAGCAGCAGCTATATATACCTTCTGAAATGGAACACATGAAAATACCTAAATATTTATAAAATACTTTAATTATAAAAAAAGGGGAAATGAAAAAATGAACTTCAAGAAGGCAACAAATCTTTCACACATTATGCAAATATGAGAATGTCATTATACTGAAGGTAGTCAACCAAGTTAACTCAAGTAAAAGAAACTCAAATTTTCCTGTTTAAACTCATTCAAACTTTGGTTCCATATACAGACATCAAATGAATATTTGATAGATAATTTCATATGTATGTCCTCTCACCCAAACAAAACTGCATGTTTGCACATTCACTCTACCACTACTTCCAGTCTGTATTTACTAATTCATTATTGACAATGCATGTTCTGCTAGTGTTAATGACTTTTTACTTAGACAGGTTATTACAATACATTTTTTATCATCCCCTGAGGTACATACATATATAGCATAATATTTTGGTTTGAGGCTGCATTGTTGTATCTATTGCCTTGAAACGGATAATGGTCATGATTGGTTATTTAGCTTAGATCATGGAACACTTAGACGATAATTGTAGTGATTCACGAAATGATGCTGTTTTTGAGGATAAAAGAATTGTTGATGACTATCTTACTGGTGGACAATAATGGTATCTAGTCCCAAAATGCTCATGCATCTCCATTCTTCTCATTCAAAGTCAATCAGAGTAAATTACATACATTTACATATGTAAATTTCTTTAAGTGCAATGTTTTCAATGTAACTGATTGATTCAATATACTGTGGATAAAACAGGCAATTAGTTGGACCTGTAATAAACCAAATATTTCTTCATGTAAAATGAAAGCACATATAGAGAATTTTTGGCTGTTATAATTTTACAAAGTGAAAAAACTGGAATACTGTCCCTACAGAACAAAAAAAGAAACGTGATTTGGTATACTATTTTCTACCAATTATATGAGCAACAGATGATTCAAAATCATAAAAAAATTCTGTATTTTTTAAACAACAATGAATTTAATCCAGCAAAACAATGTAGCTTGGTAAAATAAGGCCTATTTACAAAAATCTAAATAACAAACTTTAAGATTTCATTATATCAGAAAAACTTATAACTATTCACCAAAGTTTAATACAGTCAAAAGTCATTAATCCGGACTCGCCGGGACTTCAGCGATTCCGGATTATCGATTTTTCTGGATTACAGATCATCAGTTTAAATCTGGTAAAATGGCATGCAGAAATTATGAAATTAAAAATATGAAACCGTAATTTACGAAATAAAGAACAATTATGATCTAAAGTGTATCAAAATTTACAAAAAAAAAAAAGCTTAATATTTATTTGTTTACTTTATTAAACATTTCTTTCAATGTAAGTTTTTTAAGTTGCTTCGTTTTTTATGTGATAATATATTCTCTTTAATTCTATAAACAGACATAATTTCTTGTTCAGTTACAAAGTTCCGCTGTTAAAGTCCTATAATTGCTGTGTCAAGAATACCGCAATAAAATTTTTTTCGTTTTCAATAACCTCTGTCACTTTCTTCGCTATCGGAAGCGAATTATAATGATGAGGCATTTGATTTAAATCATATCAAAGACGGAGTACATTGAAATGAAATACTACATTTAGTAAGCAATTATAAGCCAAATAAAATAAAAACATCTGCTCTGAAGATAAGGACAGTGCTGACAGATCAACTTCCAATTCATTGCGTGCCCCAGCGTTAAAGATAAACAAAGTTTAGATAAACAAACGTTAAAGTTTAGATAAACAAAGGATATGCTTTTATCCATTTTTTGCAGCAATTCCACTTTTTGTTTAATGGACGCCGAAACATATTTTCGCTTTGTAGATCCATTACATATTAGTAAATATAAATCGGAAATTCTATTTGACATAATCGAAAGTTCAAGCTTACTTTTATAAAATTGCTCTAACAGTCTGCAAAAATAATAAGCCGGATGCAATTCGAAGATTAAGGAACAACGCAATCTGCAACATTAACTGAAATAGATAATTAGATAATTTTAGCTTAGCTTATACTGTCCATAACGAACATTCGTAAACGTATTTTGCACATGCAAATTCGCAGCCGTAGAGGTCTTACGCTCATGCGTCAACGCGACACATGCGCAGAAAGTTTGTAGCTTTGATGTCCGGATTATAGATCATTCCGGATTATGGGTGTCCGAATTAACGACTTTTGACTGTACTCTTTTATATTCAAGAAAAGTAAATAAGAAAATAAAAACTGGCAGAAAATCGATTGCTGTTTTTAATTGGTGCATTAGGGAAATAAACTGGCTAAGACAACTGGTGTGGAAATTGCAAAGTTCTCTTGTAGTTACGAGGGCTATCCAGAAAGTAGATTACGTTTTGGAATAAAAAAATAAACAAAGTATAGGAAACAAATTTTATTATATACAGATGAAAGCCACACTCAAATACTACTTTTCTACATAGTCACCATACAAATTAAGGCATTTATCGTAGCGATGTACGAGCTTGGAAATTCCTTCCTCGAAAAATTCGGCCGCCTGCGCCTTCAACCACTTCGTTACCTCTTCTTGCCTTCCATCTTGCACAAAACTTGTGGTAACCAAGCTTTTCGCTGATGATTTCGTGCAACAAACTTCGCGAAATTTGTGGAAAACTCAAAGAAAGTTCCGTTATTGTGAAATTTCGATTTTCACGGACTTTAGCATCGACTTTTTCGAGAAGTTCGGCGGTCACTATGCTGGGTCTCCCACTTCGATCTTCGTCGTGAACATTGGTTTGGCCATTTTGAAATCTTATGACCCACTGACGCACTCCACCTTCAGTGATAATGTTGTCCCCATACACTTCACGAAGCTGCCGATAGATTTCTATCGGTTTACAGTTTTTTGCAGTCAGAAACCTTATTACTGAGCGCACCTCGCAGCTCGCGGGATTTTCAATTAACGCAGACATTTCAAACCGTCACAGTATCTGAACGGAGCACAGCACGAACCTCTCACTAGCACGGCTAGATGCAGACTGAGCTGCGCAACGCTCTGACCCCAAGATGGCCGCGCTAGCCCCGCCCCTAGCGGACACAGACGGAAACGTAATCTACTTCCTGGATGGCCCTCGTATAATATTCCATTTTCTGCCAAAGAGTATATCTTCTACACATACCACAGATCATTAAGAACAAGTTACATTCATTCTAAAAGGAAGCAACTAGCTAGATATATAATATATAATAATCAACATAGAATGGTTAAATAAATAATGTATATACTGTTATATTAAGTACATTATGAATTAAAATCACGGATTAAAATTTTTTTTAAAAAGAATTATCTGTAGTAAAACAGTTACAGTGATTAAGGACGGTTGAAGTAATATCTATAATGATCCAATTGTTACTAATGTAACTAATACAGTTACTAAATGTATATGTCACCGTCAAAGACCGAAATTGGAGAATGTTGACTTTCACTGGAGAATGTTAACATTCACCAAATACATGGGTGAAATATTGAATATTGCATTACATTCTTGTACATTCAGACCCTCACGGGTGTATGTCGACGATCACAGATATGCTCTGGTGTAGGTCGAAGAGAGAGGTGTAGATGTACATGCTGTCATTGCAAAAGGAAGTATTCCACAAATAAATGCAGTTGTAAAAGCAAGGGCCTCTTGGGCAATTCAAAAGGTTGTTGACAATTCATAGTTTAAGTTGTTGCAATAAATAAGATTTGAATCACATAATTTAGTAAGTTTTTAACTTCTATTATTTTTCTTTCTCATTTTGAATGTACTGTGTGTTTTAAGTTCTTATATTAAGCCTCAAGTGCATTTTTTCGCGACTGAATTACAGAGAAGAAAATATGTTATATGTTAAACATTCACCATTAGTACAAGGTGAATGTAGACATTTACCGGTGTTAAGTCAGAAATAAGAGTATTTGGAAAATATTTCGGGCATACACAAAGTGACTATGTGAATGTTGACATTCTCCAGATTTCGGTGTTTCACAGTAACATATAGATTATATTTAGTTTTGTATATATTAAGTTTAATGAAAAGATGCCAAATAACAGTGTATAAACAGCAGGGCCTACAATAACGAGAAGAAAAAAAAAAAATACTAATGAAAGTTGTCACGATAGGTAAAAAGCATAAAATGGGATAAGTAAAAAAGTTGGCTGGTTGGTTATTTTAATACAGCAAAGCATTTAATGCCAATCTTTCTTAAATAGTGATGCCTTCATGAAGAACTTTCTCAGAGAAACTTGCTCATATTCATACTCATCGTGAAAACCACAAATACCAATCCAGCAGACAGCTGGAATAATTAAGAAAGGATATACATGAAGACAGTTCTTCTTTTCTTACAACTTATTTCATAATTCCTATATTAACAAAAACTAATTCATATATTAACAAAATTTCATAATTCCTGCAGATGCAAAGCATTGTATACAGGTGCTGCTGTCTCCAGTTTTTCATTTACTCAGAATAAATTAAGAAATTCTCTTGGTTTTGAAGCAACAGTGAAGGAGATCATCTTCCACACACTACATTGTGGAGAAAAGGTCAGATTGAACTTGAATAGTGAATCTCCCACTATCTAAATATTGAATACATATGATCAAAGTAACAAAAAGCTTAAAATATATTCCCCTCTGCTATTTACTTATTTATTTATGGCTGAATTTCTGCCTGTTGTCCCTTTCAGAATACAAATTAGTTTATGTCATGTCAGTTTTAAATCTAAAATTATGCCCAGGATGGTACTATATCTTATTTAAATTAATACATCAAATTTCCATTTTTTTTTAATTTATACAGATGGACACATCTAATTATTTTTAAAGAGAGAGATATCTTACATGAAACTCTTATATGAAAAAGCCAAGAGATTACAGGACTCCTTTCCATCTGAAATTAAAATATTTCTGAGTATTTCTTCTAAACAAATAAATATTACAGTTGAAACTTAGAAATTAGAATAAATGTATATTGTTGATTTATTTTTATAAAAATGATAGTAAAAACTTACATAATCCACTCTGTCTTCTGCGAGCCAATGAAAACACTTCAGAAATAAAAGCAACGTAAATAGAGCCACAAACTTTGGGCTAAAATCATCTCGAAAAACAGTGAATGCTAAGCATGTTTCAGTTACAGCATACCATGATCTTTCAATGAGGTGCTAAAATATATGTATACAGTTAATCGAAAAAATCCTTAAATTTTCTAAAAAAATAATTACTTTAGAAAAAGACAAACCTCCATTTCTGCAGCTCTCAACTGGCCAAAGAAAATTTTTCGCATTAATTTGCCCATCATGAGGACGAGAACAAATGCTTGCAAATAAATAACCTAAATAAATACATTTAAGAATCAAGAAATTTTAACATGACTGATTAAAAGGACACAATATAGGAATTAATGATTATACATTATATGTACCATGCAAGCCTAACATTTTAAATCAATTTTCAGTTCTTAAAGCTGTGCTTAGTGTTGTAAAAATTGATCATCGCCTAATTTTTTTTTTATTCAAAGAAACAACAATCAGTTCTTTTTTGTTAGCAAAACACCACTTGCAACCAATCACAAGTTAACAAGAAATCTAACTAGATGGTGTCAACACTAATGATACACAAAGCTTCATGAAGAGAATAACTATTTTACCCACTGAATATACATAATGCTTAATGTGCGCAACGCCAAATTGTGTAATTATCTTACTTTTTTTAACCCTTTCACGTCTAATGGGTTATATATGTCCCATAACAAAATCAAAAACATTCAAGAGGAAAGCACATCTATTACAAACACATATGTCTGTATCAAACTTGAGTACTGAACTTTGATTAAAGGTTTCCCACGAATTTCGCCATGCTCTCCAAGTCAGTCTACGTCTAGCAACAAAACAAACGGGTCCTAACCTGTACCTGTGAGTTGGTTAACTTGTGTTTGTTTTTTTACTGTAAATTGGGGGTTAAAAGTGCAAACTATTTTAAAATGGAAAGGTATGTCAATTATTGTATTTTTATTCCCTTTTTTGCTGAAAATTTCAACGTCCCTCACGAATTCTCACTGGGGATAAATGTGTCCAAATTGGTTTTTGTTGTCTGTGTGCTCAAAAACATGCATATGTATATTATTATTATTATTTTCAGAAAGAGGAAGCCAGACGACACAGAACTACAACAGCTTGTCTTTTTTTGGGGACGAGTCCAAAGACGATGCGAATCCACTTTAAGATAGTGGTTCTGTATGTGCTCTTCCACCGTAGAGATGACTTCAGAATCAGACATGGACAAAAGTAACTTCAGGAGAATCCAGAAAGCTCAAGAAAATACTGAACCAGAAGTTGATGGTGGGACCTAAGGAAACCTAAAGAGATATTTATGTCCCATGCAAATTTATTGAAAATATATATATATATATAAACACTGCTCTTGCATATTTGTGTTGCCATTTTATTACTTAATCGAAAAAAGGAAAAGTTTTTATAAATAAAAAATTTGACGTGAAAGGGTTAAGGGAAAACAGATCACTGTGTACATAGAGCAAACAAAACTGCTCTCTCATGTACAAAGCAATAAAGTTTTGCTTAACTGATAACGCCGCACATTATAAGTGCGTCAATTCCGGGACTCGCAGATTTCGCCACATGGCATATGTTTTGTCCATATTTTGTTTATTAGTTCAGAGTTTTGCCAACAAATGGCAAAAGCAGGTCACTGAAGCATTGTCCTTATTCTAGCACTTTTGTTTTCGGAATTCATGGGAAAATATCTTTGTGTAGAATATAGAAAGAAAGTTTTTCTGAAACAAAGGGGGAAAGTTTTGGGGATGAAATATCATGCTGCCCTAATGTTAATAAATAATAATGAAATTGTAATATTATATATATATTATTTATACATATGTATGTGTGTGTGCACATGCATATACATAATTTTTATTTATGTAGCCATATGGTTATGAATGACATGTTCATTAAAAATAATAATTTCGTTTTTTTCTTTTTCTATTTCTTCATAAAATTAACTCTAAATGCTTAAATTTAATAACTGAGGGCATTTAAACTGAAATTAACCTCTGTTGAAGCCAAACTTTAACACTTTCACTGCTCGTCATGTGAGGTTATACTAATAGTTAATTCTGTGTCATAGTAACAGATTGTACCCTTATGCCATCTTACTCATTATAGGAAATATTAAAAGAGATAAGAAAAGATTATTATGTGTACCACATTGATTACTAAGCCTTTAAGCATCGAATCTTATAATTACGCGTCAGCGTGCAATTGGCACTAGAGGAAAAATTACTTCTGAAGTGCCGCATTACGCGTTGACGCATGGCATTTAAAATTGAATCAAAATAAGTAACAATATGCATTATTTTGGTGTATATCACAAACAAATATATATATATATATATTATAAATGAATTTATTAGAAGATAGTTGCAATGATATTATTGCAAACTATATATTTCAGAATGTTACTCGTGTATGATATTTGCATGAAATTAAACTTTGTTTCCAGTCCAAACCACATACATTTACAACTGGTTTCTAGCCTTCACTCCACACCAATATCAGCATACACTATATTCAAAACTTAATGATGAGTGAACGTGAAAATCAACAATGAGACGTTGCTTTGAGCGCATAACTGGCACCTGAGACATCGTCCCACATCATACACAAGAGCGTTGATTGGCTCTTCAGCAATGACGCCAGTCATGCGCCAGTGTGTGATCGGCAGCGAATGTGTTAAACGAAACTTTCATAAAAATAAATGACCTTTTTTTTTTGACCAAATTGGCAACAAAATAGAAACATTTTTTAAAAAAAGGAAACATAAATTTAGCATCAGGCGCAAATTCAGAAAGGAATGACTATCTGCATTTCAACAAAAAAGCACTGAAAATCTAGGATGAAAAATTACAGGACTGATGTACATTCTTCCCGCTAATTCATAATGACACTAATTGCTGACATGATGTAAACAGGCTACCACATTTATGATTGGCATAACTTTAACAGAAGAGTACTACACAATCGAATGCACCAATCATACGTATCTATAGTCTAATAAGTTGCTCACATGATTTTAAGCATTGCCATAAACTGCACTTTAAGTAACATTTGAATGTGAATATCTTAACACAGAATTTTCATGTTCAGGTCTTGCAAGTTTTCTTCCTTTGCATTGGGATAAATCTACGAATGTTCAGCGAAACTAATAAGAAAAACTCTGCATTTTACAGATAAACGGCACACCCTCAAGCCAGTCCTCCTAAAACAGCAATACTTTTTCCAGAAATACCACATCAATTTAATGTTTCATCTTTGCATAATTTTTCATAGAACTGGTAATTTGAGTAAAATCTTTAGACATGTGAAGAAATACTACAAAACCAAAAATTCATAACATTAGTATTTTGTGAAACAAGTAGAATTATTTTTGAAATAAGTAGAATTATATTTTTTAACTTTAATAAAAATATAATTAAAAAATAAATTGATTATAAAATTAAAATTAAAAAAAAAAAAAAAAAAAAAAAAAAAATTCCCAATTTGCAAAAAAAAAAAAAAAAAAAAAAAAAACTTATTTTATGCTGCTTATTTTTAGCTTATTTCATCTTGAATACTTAGAATGCAGTTCGAATTTCAAACTATGAAATAGACTATTATTAAATAGGGAAAAAAAAAAAAAAACTTACAACATGAACTATATGTTAAATCACTTTTACCATTAAAGAGCTTTGTGAAGTGTTTGTAAAAGAGTAATGTGATAAGTTTGTTAGCACTTTTTGAAAGTAGATATGTATACCACAGCATATTAAAATTTCACTAAACTCTCATTATTTCGGTTAGAGTAGATTTAAGGGTACCCCTTTGATTATCGCTAAGTTGTTGTTTCCTTTATGGTAACCCGAGTAGCTGAATGCTATGGAAACCCTATTATGATGTAATTGGTTGCGTGATTGCAGTGAATTTGAATGATGGGAAAAGATTTGGAAAGCCTTGTTTGCGTGACGGATTCTGGATAAGAAGTACATTGTTATTTTGTGGTTTACATGGTAAAATGGCTGAATGTGGTAAGATTAATTTGAAGTAGTTGTACGATTTGGAACGAATGGGAAAAAAGCAATAATTGACTGGCGTATAAATGAAGGTTCACTTAGTAGCCATTGTAAGTGTTTGTAGGAAGGAAATATGTATGGTCAAACGTCGTAGGATACTGGCAGTAGGGAGAATATTTTTACTCTTATTTTTGTGAAATTCTGTGCCACTACCAGTATACAGATTCTAGTTCAGATAATTTAATTTTAGGAAGTTTTTGGATGCTGCTAAAGAATTTTGATTGACTGAAGACACAGAAATTTGTAAATAAGGTAAGTGGATATTTCCTTTGTGTAGTGCTAAGATGATTTTTTTTTTTTTTTATGTTATTTCATTGTTTGATTTAAAATGTAGTTTACTGAGATTATATATTTTCTGTTGGCTGCTCCTTTGACATTTTATGTGAATATAGATCAATGTGTACATGGACAAAGTCAAAGGAGTGCACAATGCCTAGTTTGTGCAATTCTCTGTTGTTTTTTTAAGTGAAAATAGGTTGATGTGTGCATGTATACCAAATTTGTGCAATTCTTTGACTTGTTATTTTGGATCTGTGTAGCGGCGATTTTTAACAAGTCAAAGAATTGCAAAAAATTGGTGTCCATGTACCACCAAAAATTGCCAAAGGGCACCTATAAATATATTTTACCATTATTTAAAAAAAAAAAAAAAAAAACTTCATACTCACAGCCATACTGGGATTTGACTTAGTTATATATACCACAGAGGGATAAAACTGCTTTTTCTGATAATAGGCATTTCCGACTACAGCAACAGTCAGAAGAAGACTGCTCAGACTCAGCAAAGCTGCCCTCATTTTAATTTTGTTACAATAACATCTGCAAACAATCATAGTAACAACATATTAAAGTAGCAGCTAAAAAAACTGGAATTATTATTATTAAAACAAAATAAAAATTCATAACCTAATGAACTAATAATATTTTATTCACAAGAAGTTGTTAGCAACTTTTACTAATAGCAGTTAATCACTAAACCAGTTTTCACAGAATACAAATGTAGCATGGCTGCACAATAAACTTCTCATCTGAGTTTGTTACAAGAAGGGGGGGAGGTCATTAGATATTGTTACAAATGACTACTAAAACACATAAAACCTCTGCTGTTCATACCTTCTGCTATTTTAAGCATTTGGGCAAGTTTAAAAATAGGAAAAGGGAGAAAAAAATGTCTCTCTTTCAAACAAGATGATAACATAGGAAAATTAAAACAATACCTCATTTCTATTTAGTATTATTAAAATATAATGTTTATTGCCAGCCCATGCCACATATTTTTTATTCATATTTTGATTCTGAGATTGTTTATTTCACTACTAAGGTTATTCTCAAGATACATGCTCAGATAAATAGATTAAAAGACGCCCTCTCTTAATTGCCTTCTGAGCATAATTAAATAAAAATCATATATTTCAAACATGGAAAGCAAAAATAAAACTAAGAACAACTAACTCCTGCACATGACTATCATCTAAAAAATCTTCACCAAAATGCATGCCTGTCTGTATGCGTATGTGCATGCATGTATATCTATATATACATGTAAGATATAACAAAATATGATAGCTGTTTCAAAATATAATTGATGATCTCAAAATTAACATTCTAAATTTGTTAATCTTCCCCTAAATTCATCTCTTCTCACAGGTTCCGGACATTTTTATCTTATGTAACATTTTAATGCAGATGCCTCTTGTCCAATCAAATTACATCTAAACCAAAACTGTGAACTGAAACTTCAGCCTTCTTGCTATGAAAGTACTATAACCTTTCCTTTTTTCCGTGTTAGTTGTTCTGCTGGTAAGGCACTTTTCATCCATGCTGCTGCCGCTTACTTGCTTAAGATGACGTCGTACTTCAAAATGGGAGTTTTCCATTCAAATATTATTAAGAAATATCTTTTCTGAAAAAGGATGATTTGATATGCATAGAAAAAATAAAGATTGTGATTTTTCAAGATATGTTGTGCTAAATTGCGTCATCATGCTTTCCACTCTGCCACCTTCAAACCACAGTTTCATTACATACATATATGGTTACAGTCGAAAACATTGCAGAAAAAACTTCGCGGAGAAAACAATGCAAGAAGAAAACGTCGTGGGAGAAAAGGAAGCAAAGAGAAAAGGTCGCCAGTTCTAAAACATCGTGGTCAAAAATAAAGCTAATCAAAAACTTCGCAGTTTAAAAACATCATCGTTGAAAACATCGTGGTAGAAAATAAAGTACCTACAAAGCATCGCACACATGCGTTTTCAGGTTTTAAAAGTTGAAAATGCATTTTCGCATAATGATTTGGTAGCACAAGAGGGAAAGTAGATGAAAATGTTAATGACACTTTAAGAATAAATGGAAACAAAACAAGATGTAATTTTCACTAAAACAATAACAGATTAAAAAGTGTGAAAGAAAATAATTTGATAATTAACTAAGCAATTTGTACAGAGGTAACCTGATGCAGTTATTTATCTTCCTTTTTCTAAAGATATTTAGATTGCATTTTTCATGAGAAATTATCAAACTTTACAAAAAAATTAATAAAATTTGTAACTACCTGTGTAAATTTAAAATTATGTGCTGTAAGTTGCATTAATTTTCTTTTCATTTACAGTTTTCAAATGCTTACCTTTCCTTCTTAATTTTCAGCAGGAAGTTATTAGTTCATTCAAAAATATGAGATATAGAAGTAAAAATATCCCTCTTGCCCTCCCAAATCATTATGTGAAAATGCACTTAATTTTAAAACCTGAAAAACGCATGTGTGCGGTGTTATAGTCATGCGATGATTTGTAGATATTTTTCTTTTTTTACAAAAACGATGTTTTTAAACTGCAAAGCTTTGAAACTGCTTTATTTTCAACCATGATATTTTGTAATAATGTGGCCAGCCCATTTAATCCTTTGGATTTTTATGCATTTCACGACGTCAGGTTCTTTGTAGATTTGAGTACTAAATTTGAGTGTCTGTGCCAAACACCATCAACTTGTATTCCTCCAAAAATAGCTCTTAGTATTTGCCGCTCAAAGAAACCAAGGACATTTTCATCTTTTTGTGTCACTGTCCAGGTTTCTGAAGAACATGTGAGTACAGGTCTGATTAGACACTTATAAATTAATAACTTTGTTTTTCTTTTAATTAAATTTGATTTTAAATATCTCTTTAATCCGTAAAAGCATCTATGAATAGCTTTAATTCTCCTCTGTACTTGAGGTGTGATGTTGTTATTAATGTTAATCTCAGAGACCAGATATAAAGCTATCGACTTGCTCAAATTTATAAGTACCTATTTGCAGGTGAGTAGCAGAGTCTGTTACCCTGGTGCATCGTGTGTATTTAGTTTTTTCATGGTTTATAATAATGTGCATTTTACCTGCCTCTTTTTCCAGGGCCAGAAATGCCTGTTTCAGATCAGAAGGTGTTCTGGTAATGATGTCTATGTCATCAGCAAATGCAAAAGATTTGCACAGATTTATAGGTTTATTATCTTTCCTCTAGTGTTGGTTTTCGAGTTTCGAATATTTTTTTCTAATGCTATGTTGAAGAGTAGGCATGCCAGCGCATCACACTGCCTAACCCCATTTCTAATTTTCATTGCTTTAGAAAAATCCCCCTGGATTTTAACTCTCTGCATGGTTTTAATCAGCATAGGAGCAGTGATTAAGACACAATAACACGCCAAACAAATACTAATTCAGAAGCCAAACAACAAAAATCAGCATTATACAATCAAAAGTATTTAATTCGGACTCGTCCGAACTTCGACGATTCCGGATTATCGGTTTTTCAAGATTATAGATCATCAGTTTAAATCTGGTAAGATGGCATGCAGAAATGAAACGATAAAATTAAAAATATGAAACCTTAATTTATGAAATAAAGAGCAATTATGATTTAAAGGGTATCAAAATTTACAAAAAAAAGCCTAATATTTATTTGTTTACTTTATTAAACATTCCTTTCAACGCGCGCATGCATAAAGCATACATTACGCATACGCATAGTCGAAATTAGAAAACTGCAACCAGAAAACTATTTGATGTGTATTCGTGATATTTATAATGATGAGGAATTAGATTTAAATCATATCAAAGGCAGAGTACATTGAGATGAAATACTACATTTAGTAAGGAATTATAAGCCGAATAAAATAAAAACATCTGCCCTGAAGATAAGGATAGTGCTGACAGATCAACTTCCAGTTTATTGCACGCCACAACGTTGCACGCCGCAATATGACAAACTGCATCAAACCAGTCCTTTTCTTGACTTCTTTAATTTTTCCTACTACGGTGCTACCTGTGTCCAAAAGAGCTTCTTTAAAAACACCCCATTTTTCATCTATATTTTCAATTACTTTATCTTCGAGTTTTTTTGCTAGTTGAATCTGAAAATCATGCCTAACTGAGCTATTTTTTAAATGTTCACAGTCAAACCTTTCAATTCGTTGGCCATGATGTTTACATGCATTAGATATTCTGGCCTTAATCTTACCGATTACCATATAATGGACTGTGTCAAAATTAGCTCCACGATAGGTTCTAATATCTTGTATATCTGTCATATGTCTAGAATCAATCATTATATGATCAATTTGGTTAAAAGTTTCTCCATCTGGAGATCTCCATGCCATTTTGTTAATTCTCTCGTGTTGAAATACTGTACTTGATATGACCATGCCTTGTTTATCAGCAAAATGAATAAGTCTTTGTCCGTTGTAATTAGTTTTCTAATGTAGACTACATTTTCCAATAGCTGGTATGTATTCAGCCTCTTTCCCAATCTTGGCATTAAAATCGCCTAAGATAACCTTGATGTTATATACACTGGTTATCATAAATTAAGGAAAAATCGCAAAAATCACGATTACTGAAAAAGTTACATGTAGAATTTTATGAAACTTACCCACAATATACAACATATAGTAAGGTATCAAATAACATAAAAATAAATTACCAGACAATTATGGTAGTATAGAAATTAGCCCATGTATAAAATGAACAAATCGAAGGTGTCAGTTTGCTATAGGAAAAGTACCTTCAATAGGTAATATGGTTCCCTCTAGAAGCAATACAGCACATACAGTGATGCATGATGCTTTCAATTATGCAGCAGTTCCATAGGAAGCGAGAGCCATTGCTCTTGCAAAGCTGTTGCAAGCGTGGCAAGGGTCGGTCTGATGGGGCAGGCTGAGAGCAGCTAGACATCTCTCTAAATCATCCCACAGGTGCTCGATAGGATTCAAGTCCGGGAATCGAGCTGGCCGCTCCATGCGCATAATTCTTTCCTGTTGAAGATAATCATCTATGATGCGAGCTCTGTGTGGTCTTGAATTATCGTCTTGTAACAGGAAAGCATCACCTATTGCTCGGCACATGGGCGCAAAATAAGCATCAAGGATGTCATCTCTATAAACCGGAGCATTCACAGTTTCGGTTGGAAAGACATGGAGGTCTGTGCGTCCACCCAAAGAGATGCCACCCCAAACACAGAAAATGCCTCTTCCGTATGCATCTCTTTAATGGATGTTTGATGGATGATAAAGGGTTCCAGGTTCTCTCCATATCAAATAACGCATACTATCGCTTTCTAGACTAAACCTGGACTCATCCGTAAAGAGAACAGCCTTCCACTGATCAAGCATCCAGTGGACATGTTGTCATGCCTACTACAAACGGTCTCTCCTATGGCGTGATATGAGCGGCAAGCAAATGGCTGGTCGTCTCGCTGATAGACCACCTTCGTGAAGCCTTCTACGCACAGTTGACGTTAACACCAACCTTGCAGTGGCTGCAGCAAAAGAGGATCTACGAAGAGTCGGAGT